TGTAAGTTTTTCTGTCTCAAGCAAAGCTGTTTACACTTTTTTTCCTACTGTGTAATGTATGTGTTTATTAAGAAAGATAAACTTGAGAAAAAAATTAAATAGTCACAATTTTTGTAAAGTGTACAAATTCTAAGCCATAGGGGGGGAAAAAAAGTCTAGTTTTAGCTGCTATTTTCAGAGACAGAGATATTAGTTAAGAAATACATTTTTTTTAAATAAAACTAATTAGTGGAAGGTGGTGTTTAACTTATGGTATAGGGTAATGGAGGAAAAGGAGAAGATTTATGTGGTTATCTAGAGTGAAATGTAATTATTTAAATTTTGATATCTTGAAAGACTATAATGATGCAGTACTGTAAAGTAGATGTATAGGTGCTTCTTGTCAAGTCAGCGTAATTTGCTTCTTTGTGAAAAGTAATCAAACTCACCTGATACTGGTTAGCATTACATTGCTATACTATACCTAATGATTGTCTTTTGATATAGTGGTGTTTTGGTTATAAATTGCCTCTTGGGTAGTTTGTGACCTAGAAAAAGTGACTTATCCTCTCGGTATCCCCATTTTGTAATATTTTGGAACTCTTAAGTTTTCATTTTATTTGTTCTGGGAAAAAGTGCAATGTATTCTTTTTTTATTTTTAAAACTTGTGTATCTGTATATAAGAGTAATTTTGCCATATGTAAAATGTTGTATAGTACAGTAGGTACAATGGCAATGAATTCTGGTTTGTTGTGTTGTTGTACTCTTGAAGGTAAATGGGGCAAAGGAAACATCTAGTATATCTGAATATGAAGTCAGTTATGTGATGTTCTCCCTGGAAAACCTGTGCACTTTCTAAATTTACTTGATCCTTTTAAAGAAACAATAATACCTTATCTCTAAGGTTATTTATGGAAAGAAGGGTAAACAAATTATAAAGAAACATTAGGATAAAATATCAAATTTTTTTTTTAAATTCTGCAGAATCTTAAAAGTTTCATAGCACTTCATCAACTCATGAATAAATCACAGTTTTAGTTATCTATTAAACATTTCATTGTTAAAAGAATATTTCAATAAACACATGACAAATACAGAATGTAAAATAGATATTTTACATTTTCCTTATATTGAAAATATGAATAAAATATGTCACTACTTTATTATAACAGGAAATTCTAAAATAAGCAGTTAGCATTGAACAGGGCAAATGTGACTAGGCCATATCAATTTTGAGGAAGATAAATTTATCTAATACCCCCTGAGAATGATTCTGTGTCCTATTTATAATCCCTGAATTTAATTTTGAGAAAAACTGCTTTAAGTTTTTACCTCTTTGCAAAATTATGAGGAAGTGATACCCCTTCTTAATAGTCAAACCACTAATTTAGCAAAACCGATTTATTAGCTAAATCGGTAACATTATCAATTAATTATTACTGTTTATTATTTGTATTGGAAATTTTTAAAATGTCTTATTGATAACACTTGCTAACTAGTTTCAGCATTCATTTGAAAATATCTTGATGATTCTGTTATTTCATTAAAATTATATGCATAATATTTCACACTCAATATTACCATTTATAAATTTAATACTTAAACATCTTTGGAGAAAAAAGCTTTACAGTAACCATAATGTTACAATTACAACTTGCTGCTTTTATAAAAAGGTGAAGAAATGTTGATGTCATAGCTAAAACTTTTCTTTGTTTACGTACCTTTACTACTTTTCACTTTAACTACGAGCTGTTAAAAATTGCATTTTTAAGATAATTTCAGTCATTTTGGGGTGGTGTGCAATGTGCACTTTACAATTGACTTATAATTGGACTGTGCTGACAATGGAAAATCTTACAAGTATTGAACATGACATTTATGACAGTATTGCTGTCATCTTGGCTTCTTTTATTGAATATGCAGAGAATTATAATTGGGCTAACAAGCCTGGTAGCCTGGCCTCTTTCCAATTATATTAACCAACCTAGTCTGGTATTAGCTGCCTGAACACACACTGAAGCAGGCGCACTGCTTTTATTTTCCTTTCTATTTTATTTTCACATCTATAATAAAATAAGAATAAAATAATTTGCCTTCATGTGATGTTTGAGAACTTTCAATAATTCATTTCCATTCCACTGAAAAATGTGAAGATTTTCTTCATTTTTAGTCATTAATTTTTAATAAGAAGTTGTTTCAATAAAGATTGGCCATGTCTGTTAGATATTAGATACTAATTATTATTGTTTCGAAAATTGTAAAGATTTTGACAGCATTTCTTTGAATTCTGCTAAAACATTTTAAATGGTGAAATTGAACTTAAAGTATAATTTAACTTCACATGGGCAAGTCAATATACTTATGCACTGTAATATTTTCTTTGAAATTGAGACAGATAATATTTCTGCATAATCTAACCTAGGCTTTAGCGTTGTTTAATCTTAAAAATAATAAACACGATGAAAATAATTCCTAATGGTTAGAAGTATGAGAACTATCAAATTTCTACTTAGAACTTAAAACTGAATTTTCATTGAAAGAAAATTCCTAAGAAAAATTAAAGGAAGGATTTTGTAGTTAAAGTGGACAATGAGTGATACTGTGGTGGTTACACTTGAGGAGATCGTAAACTTCCAAAATGCCAGAAAGCCAGTGTTTCCTCTATCATAAATAAATAAATTTAGATTAAATGAAAAAAAAAAAAGAGAGAGATAAAGTTCTATAACTCTTCAGTTATTTTGAATATGGGATCTTTCTCTTTTTTATAGCTTCCTCTTACTTTAGAATTTTCAATATACTTGCATATTCCCTTCCAACATATGCCTGAAACTTCAGTCTGAATTATTTTAGATATTCATCATAGTCAATGTTTTTCTGTATAGAAATCTGAAAGCAACCTGGAACACTCTCTCACATAAACAAAACACTGCTACTGTATTTAAGGGCTAAGTTAGAGTATGTGTTTGTCAAGAGAAAAAAAAATAAAGAATGCTACAAGCACTAATTGTCTATCAATAGAGTAATTCATAGAATTTAGAGAGAAATATGCAACTATTAAAATTAGTGGATTAGAACTCCATATCTTAACCTAGAAAATATGGACAAAGCAAACTACAAATTATATATAGACTGAGTATTTTCCTGTTTTTGGAAACAATTTCCACTATGTATGTGTGTTGTTTTGTTTTTTGTTAGAATTGCAAAGTTTATTTTTTCTAACATTAGTAAACCATTAATAGTGATCCTTGCAGTGACTAACAATGGAGAAGGTTGTAATGTTTTATTAACTATGTCACCACTAATCTTTTTTTAACATATTTTGTATTAAAATGATCATAAAGTAGAAATTTTGATTCATTAAAAAGGAGTACAGTCCTTGATAAAGTACCTTTCAAAATTTTGTTTTAATATTGAATATTTTAGGGACCCTTTACTATAAATTTGACTGTAAGTTATTACATTCTAGAAGTAATATCACAAAATGGTTGGTAGTTTAATTTTGAAACTTGACTTTTAAATTAGTTCAAATATTATATTCACAACAGTAGTGTAAACATTCACTCTCCCCAAGCACCTTTCTTCATTTTACACCATAAAATATGCAGATTTTAATGGATATAGCACAGAATTTTGTTTCCTGAGCTACATTTGCTTTCATTTAGTATAGTTTTATCAGAAAAGATTATTTTAGAATGTTAATGTGCATTTTTCATGAACTAGCAGGAAATAAATGCACATAATAATATAAGGTTTATTATTGTAGATAAGAATACATTTCCTAGAATTAGTTTTTCCTAGATATCTAAACTTGCTTAAATTTTTCCTTTAGCTCTAAATAACTTGAAATAATGAAATAAGTGAAGTTTTGATTTGTAGTTGATAAATATCAGACACAAATTTTAAATTCAACTCTATGGAAAAGTCAGCATGCTAAACTAGAGAATGCACCTCTCCCAGAAAGGGAAAGAGCAATTGCATTTTTAACATTATTTAGATATTGAATAATCTCTCTTTCATTTACCAATCTTCAATTTTAAATAAAAAATATCACCAATCTAAAATATGTCCATATATCTTAGATTTTGTTTAGATGTCTACTTTTGATTAAAGAATTGTCCTATACAACTATTGTAATTTCTTCATCCAATTAATTCTATTCCAAATAGTGTTTATCACTAAATATAAGTAAACTTAAATTCCTACCTCTTAATGAGAATAAATGAAATGTAAAGGATTCTATTTCTAGCTTCATACTATTGGTTCAATCCATAACTATATAATTTCAGTATAACCAGTTGTGCTATTTGGAGTTGGATTTGTGAATCCAGTGTTCACAATTTAGTTATTCATTTGTTGCTTTAAACTCCAATAGCATAAAGTAGTATCTAATAGCACAGTGCCATACCAACACAACTAATATTAAACCTCAAATTTTCTTCTTTCCAGTTGAGTATTGTTACAAGTGAGTTGACTTTTCTAAGTCCCAGTCTTTCTACCTTTTAAGCAATCATAACAGAATATTTTTATTGGGCTTGTTAAGCAGAATATATATGGAAAATACTCAACTTTAGCCTCTGGTAATTAGTAAGCACTCAGAAAATGCAAATGTTTGCTCTTGTGATGTATCCAAAATATTACAGGTTACATTTTAATTGTTCAAAAATATTAAATATAGTTAACCTATACATGTACTTTTTCTTTAATTGAAGTTTTCACTAATTTGAATTGAAGTATAAGAAAATATCATATAGTTCCCAAAAGGAATTTAGTATGTTGCTTGGAATTTTACTATATTTATTTTACTCTTGTTATTCTGACTTTAATCATATACTAATAAAGTCTATCATCATTTTCTTTGTCATAAATCTTTTGTCTAATGTGTGTTGATCTTGTAATCATAAGTGCTCCTTTCTAGATTTTAATTAATATTAACAACATATCGCTTTTTCTTACTAGAAACTCTGTCTAATATCTAATATGCTTGTTCTCTTCTTTTTGTGCAATCTTTCCTTGGTACCAGCCACTGCTTCAAAGAATAAAGTTAAGGGTGAGTTCCTATCTGTTCTGCATGATTCACCATTCTTCTTTTTTTTTTTTTTTGTGCTAAGTCTTCCAAGTTCTTTTACATGGTAAAGCCAGTTGATGATAATATTAATAAAATGTGTAGACATTAGTTATAAGTTCTGGAAAATTCATATATATATATAATTCAGTTTCTTGTATATGTCTTTGTATGCATGGTGGTTTGTGAGTTTGCTTTTCCTTCTATTTTTCCAGTAGTCATTATGTGCATGTTAACAGTATTTTCATTTTAAAGAATTATAATTTGTAAAAAATACACTATAAAATAAACTGATAGGGAGTATCAAAATTGAATGTCATCATGGAATTATATGAAAAGAACATTTCATCCTTTAAAAATGCATATTATAAACTGTGGATATCTATTGATGACTGTTCTTCCATTTCCTACTTGCTTTAGGTTTATATTTGCTAGAAAATTGAAAATGCATTTTCTTGAAAGAGAATAAATATATCTAATGTTAGAATATCTTCCTGGAAAAAAAAAATACTTTTTAGTGATGTGTCAATCTTTATGGTTTTAGAAGAATTCAAATATAAGTATTATACAATTTTATATCGCCTATGTTTTGATTGTATTATCACAAAACTAAATATATGAACACACGTCACACAAACATATGTCTGTGTGATGTGTCTGCATATATTCTTTATGGTAAACTATAGTTTTCTCCTTTTCATTTTTCATGTATAGTAAAACTATAATTACCTTATTGAACTCAGTGTCCTCATATGCAGAGTATGAATAAGATTAAAACTTCAAAAAGTTGCACTGGGTATGAGTTAGGTAAAACATGGAAAATAATTAGTGGAAATACTTTTGCTTATGTATAATGTTAGTATCATTTTTTTTTCTTTTCATACACTTGCCTTTTCATTTGAGAAATTTCTGACTTTGCATAGATTGATATTGTCCTTTGCAGTAATTTTTTTTTTTTAAATCTCTTTCTAAGTGTCACATTCAAATACACCGCAAGCCATTTCTTTTTTGTCCTAATCCCTGCAGCCCTCTCCTACCTTCGGTTCCAATTTTACTGCTAGTCCTAACACAATGATACCAACTTCTCTTTGAAGGAGAGAAGTGCTCTCCACTTATAAGGTTAAGTATGCTGTGTGATGTTATTATAACCCTACTAATATATTTGCTTCATAACATATTAACGATATACTGACAAGATAACACATTCAGTGTTACCTTTTGTTGTGCCCTCTACACCTAACTTATTGTTTGTGTGTGATAAAAACACATTCACAGAAGGCCCTCCCTGTTGGCACAGTAGGTTAAAGCACAGCACTGAGAAGCTAAAGCCACTTTAGCATGAGTTCAATCCCTGTCTGCCGCGGAGGGATCCACATGCTTGGCAGACCTCTCCTGAGCCCCCGGCTGCTCCCCTCAGCAGTATCTTTGTCGATCTGCTTGTTCTGCTCCCCATTCTGTCTCTGGTGAATTCTCTCACTGTCCCTGCACCTCTGGCCTGTATGCATAAATAAATAAATCTTTAAAAAAAAACTTAAAAAACCACATTCACAGAAAAATTAAGAATGTACTAATAATGAATTCATATATATACATATATATATTCACACATGCAACATGTATTTATATAATTAAAAGCTAAAAATACAGTTTTAGGTATAAAAATTAAAATGTACTTAAATTAATGTGTTAATTGTTGGAATTGGATATTGAATGTGACTGGAGTTAGTGACAGTGTGCTACACTGAGCAAAATTGAGGAAGGTAATGGGGATTATTTTTTATACTTTGTGGCAGTGAATTATATTTGTAGACTATAAAATGAATTAAATCTGAAGGAAAAAGATGAGAAGAATTAAGTGTAATGTATAACGAGTGAGAGGTCAAGAATGCCTTCATTGTTCCAAGTCCCTTCTTTTAATATCACTAAGATTCTATTTTGTCCTTGTATGTTTGGGATATGATATGACTGCTTATAATTAAAAGTTTTACATATTTTCTTACAATTAAAAAGAATCTATTATGTAGCCATTTCTTTAGTTTTGTTAGTTGATTTCAGCTATCACTTTCATAGATTTGAGCTTAATATTGAGCTCTCCTTTTTGATCTCCCCTTTACCCTTTCAGATATTTACATATGAATATTAACACCTGAAATTCTTATATTTTTTGTGTATATGAAAATTAGGGTCTGCTCTTGTCTTCTTATGGACAAAAATTTGCGTAATTTCCAATTCAAAATATGTAAAGCATCTTTAATGCCTCTTCCTTAATAGTTACCATAACAAACCAATTAAAACATTTTCTAATTTTTAATTACCAAATAAAATATATATCCTGTTTCATTTTGGACATAATAGCTTTTTCATGGATCCTGCTTCAAATCACTTATTCCTTGGAGCTTACCTGGAGTAGTTTATAATTTATCCCCTATTTCAAATTTCAATATTCTACAGTCATCCTATACTGATATATCACAATGAGTTTTAAACAAGGTCAGCAATGCTTTGTCACTTAGATATGGAAAATATTACCTTAAAGTGTTCCTATAATTTCTTTCTGTAAGTTTATTTTACTTCACTATATTATAAACTAAATGTATCTTAATGCTTAATATTCTTCCAGAATATTACAAATTTCTAGCTAGCTTTAGCCAGTAAAACTATATTTTAATTTTTAATACAATCTTTAGTTTTATTCCATATTCAAAATATATAGAACTATAATGGGAATAATGTTTTATGCTCTTTCTATAACATCAACTTTTTTTTTTTTTAAGATTTATTTATTTATACATACAGGCTGGGATACAGGCCACAGGAGTGGTGGGTGAGAAGATTCACCAGAAACAGGGTGGGGAACAGAACAGGCAGATCAATGAATTATACTGCTGAGGGGAGCAGTGGGCAGGTCAGGAGAGGTCTGCCACACCATGTGGGTCAGCTCCCTGATGGGGGATTGAATTTTTGCTGCAGTGATTTCAGAGAGCTTCATAACATGGTGCTTTAACCCATTGCACCACCAGGGAGAGCCCCTAAAACATCAACTTTTAGCTGTTACTTTCAAGCATAAAATCATTATTCAGTATTCAAAAAATTAATGTAATTATTCTGATTTTGTTTTAAGTATTAAAAGATAATGCAGGGCAATTAGCAATCTAAATTTGCGTGTCTCTGTGTTTTAAGGAACAAGTATTTCAAATTACTAGAGTTAAGTAATAAATATAATATTAAATAAAGGATTTGTCAATATGGAAAGTATACTATTCAAGCAAGATATTGTATTTTGTATAATAGGTTTGCTATTATGTGATAATTTTGGGATATGAATTGAAAGGCATGAATGAGGTTGAAGTTAAACACTGTTTCAAACTATTCTGAGCTTTTCTCTCAGGTAGGGCAGCTATGCTTCTGTTCAGGCTATACAGTATATACCGCTTATTAAGAGGTTCTATTTTGCAATAAAGTAACATGTCAATTCCTGTTTTTGCAGCTCATTAGATTTGAGCACCTGAACTAATGGACTAAAGTCACTCCCACTTCATACAGCATAGAGTTTGTCACAACATTATGACAAACATATGGGAAAACGCACATAGAGAAATTACCCAGAGAATGGGACATAAGAAGCACTCTATAAATGCCCCTATTATTAATTCTTTCAAATCATCATGGAATATCATTCTATTTATTTGTGTCCTCTTCAATTTCTTTTATCAATATGTTGTAGTTTTCAATGGACAGCTCAAATTTCATCTTCTTGGTTATATATATTTCTAAGTATTTTTTTTTCCTTTTGATGCAATTATGATTTGTTTACTGTGTTTTCCCCCCTACTCTAACAACAATGAAAAGCCATCCAAGGACTTTAAAAGGGGTTAGGAATTGTGATGGTGGGATAGTTTTACATTATATTCTGTGAAAGAGATTACTGGATGTTCATGAAGAACAAATAAGAAGTGATTACTATGGATGAAAAAGATATAACTTGAATTGTGTAGAAAATTGCAGTACTCCAGGGAGAAATGATTGTAGGTTGTCTTAGAGTGGTTACTGGTAAAATCAAGGAGCTATACATGGATTTGAGAGAATAGAGTATCTTTTCAAGAACAAAATTGAAACATTTAGCAAAAAAAAAAAATTAAAACAAGAATTAAATAACTGGCTCTAAATATGTGTGAAGTACTTAAAATAGTTTAATCCTTTATTTCTATTCATGGACACTGAAAATCAAAAGGTAGAAACCTTGAATAGTAATCCTGATCCTGTCAACATGTCAACATGCAGAGAACTTTATGTTGCATTGTTGAACACAAATGAAAATTTAAAAAAATAATAATAAATTGTTTTACTGGAAGTGATATTAGAAAACATCATCCTTCCATAAAATAATTACTTATACTGTTAAATTTCATTAATGAAATAATTGGAAAGTTTCATATGTCTAAATAATTCAGGGTAGAGGAAACTTTCTATTAAAAATAGTTGTAAAGAATAGCATGAAATTATTTACATTAGCCAAAATTTGGAAAAAACTTAACCATCAACAGATGATTTGGTAAAGATGTGGTATTTGTAGACTACAAACTGCTACTCTACTATAAAAAATATTGAAACCCTGTCATTTGTAATTACATGGATTAATTAAGAGTATATTATGTTTAGTGAAATAAGTTCAGCAGAGAAGGACAAATATTGTGTGATTTTATTTGTATATGGTAGGTGAATGAAATGAAGCAAATGAATTAACTAATAAAGTTAAAATAGGGGTTCCCCTGATGGTGAAGGAGGTGAAGACACAGAACTGTGCAGCCAAGATCCACTGCCAGGGCAGCAAGATTTCAATCCCTGGCCAGAGAGATAACCCATATCATGCAGCAGACCTCTCCTGACCCACCCATAGCTCCCCTCAGCAGTATAGTTCAGTCAATCTGCCTATTCTGTTCTGTCTCTGGTGAATCATCACGCTTCCTGCACCTCAGCTAAAAATA